GGCGCTGGTCGGATCACCAGCGACGAGGAAGCATCAAAGCTCGTTCGCGACACATGGTACGCGCGCGTTGTGGAGATTGAAGACAGGAGAATTGAGGAAGATGCCAAGCGCCAGGCTCTAGGAAAGGTGCTAGAAGGATCCGATGAGGCTGATCGGTCACTCACCGTGCTATCGTCATCGGCTACCAATGTTACTCTGCGTTGGCAGCAAGGCCAGTTCATCGGTGGTGGTACATTTGGGTCTGTCTATGTGGCTATCAACTTGGACAGCAACTATTTGATGGCTGTCAAGGAAATTCGCCTGCAAGACCCCCAGCTCATTCCCAAGATCGCTCAGCAGATCCGAGACGAAATGGGCGTGCTCGAAGTGCTCGATCATCCGAACATTGTCTCCTATCACGGCATTGAGGTGCACCGTGATAAGGTTTACATCTTCATGGAGTACTGCTCAGGTGGCTCACTCGCTAGCTTGCTGGAGCACGGGCGTATCGAGGACGAAACGGTCATCATGGTTTATGCCCTTCAACTCCTAGAGGGTCTAGCGTATCTGCACGAAGCCCATATCGTGCACCGGGACATCAAACCCGAGAATATCCTGCTCGACCACAACGGTGTCATTAAGTACGTCGATTTCGGTGCAGCCAAGATAATCGCTCGCTCGGGCCGCACAGTTGCCCCAATGGACAACCCTCAAATACCCGGTTTCAAGGAGCCGGCCAAAGATCCTACAAACCAGCGCAAAAACCAGAAGACCACCACAGGAACTCCGATGTACATGTCACCCGAAGTGATCCGTGGCGACACTTCGAATCTGGACAACCGTCAAGGAGCTGTAGATATCTGGTCTCTGGGCTGCGTGGTCCTAGAAATGGCAACTGGGCGCCGGCCATGGTCCACGCTGGACAACGAATGGGCAATTATGTACAACATCGCCCAAGGCAAACAGCCCACGCTTCCATCTCGCGATCAACTCAGCGACCAGGGCATCGACTTCGTGCGCCGCTGTTTCGAATGCGATCCCGCTCGCCGTGCCACTGCCGCCGAACTCCTACAACACGAGTGGATCATCTCCATTCGTCAACAAGTTGTCTTAGAGTCCCCTACTCCGGGCAGCGATTATAGCAGCGGTTCCAACTCAAGCTCTCGTCAAAACTCGACATATATGTGATTTCCTCTTTCTCGCGCCATTCCTTTCTTCCTGACCTCTCCTCTATGATGTTGCCCTATTTACATGGACAAAATCTGAAATTTGATCATCATGGGACTTGAAAGCGTCTTTCCTACCCCATTCGTTCGATCTCGCCATCGTCGACTGACATCGCATGTGATACCCCTTCTCGCCTCTTTTTCTTGCTTTAACGTCTTTTGTTCGCCAAATCCATACCATAACGCCATCTCACGTTACCGCGGTCATCTCTTCATTTATGTCCTGGAACTCGTATCAAACTCTTTGGGTTCCTTGATTCTTCTTTATCTTGTTTCATTCACGCGTGGTCTTTTATGTCCGGCGCGAGGATCTCTCGGCATTTCTCACTATGGCCCTCGGATGAAAACGAATCGGGGCCAAGTCTGTTTTAGTATTTTGTTGGTCGCATATTCTATTTCTAGCACATATGTACGTGGTAATTGCATTTGTGCATGGTTCTGAATCCAGGCCTTTCACTCGGTTATATCGCTAGCTCAAATCATTTAGCATTTCCACTCGGTGAGTGGCACCTATACTCGTGGAGTGGACCTACATGGACACTACGCTTACACGACTCACAGTCTCCTCATCTCAACTATTCCTGGTTTCTACTAGCCCTATATAATAATTCAACCACTGTAACAACATACGGAGCACTTACGTTTTTTAAACAGTTGGATGATTGGCAAGAGGGTTCCCCACCTGTGAAGTGCCACTCGCATATTTTCGTCTCCCGATCGGCGTCTGCGGGACTACATTGTATAGCTGGTTTACGTGCCGTGCTCTGTTTATGGGCGGGCCAGTGAAGGAGCTATACAGTCAATATAGCTCTGCAGCCTTGGCGCACATATACGAATACCAAGAACACGTAGCGAAATTTTCAACGACAGGGCTGGTCAGCCAACAGCTCACGTGGAAGATAATAAGACTAAGTTAACACAAGATAGGTGAGGAATAAGAAAACAAGAAGGAAAAAGATGAGAGATTAGGACTCCAAACAGAGGATGTAGGGTAACCAGAACCAAGTCGCCGGAAGTGGAGACGGAAATGCCGTGTCGTAGATTGCAATATCGTGAGACATGAAGGTCAATTTGAGGATGGGTTGTGTGGATGTAGGCTTTGCCTGAAAAAGGATATGGTCTTGGAAATCCTCAAATGACGTGGGTAGTCGAAAGGATGATCAAGAACATAAAATATGAGGGACGAGAGTGTGAGGAACAGAGGTTGGCGTAGAGGGTATTTAAGGAAAAGCAAACGGGATAGTGAGCCCAATGGAGTTTCGAGAGATCCAAGCTTCTCATTCCTAATGGTGACCAGGAAGCAGACACAATAACAAGATGGGATATGAGGCACACGAGCACCAAATTAGTCACGTAGGAAGTCATGCATGAGGTCGTTTTAGGCACCAGCAAGCAAGTTCGGCGAGATTTAGCGGAACTCGACTGCTGGTGCGCACCCACGATCTTCGACATGCTTAAGTTCAAGCTGTTGGAATCTGTAATAAAATTAACATCAGCGAAATCGATAATTCTCAGAAATAAAACATCCACCTACCGCTCGCTCTTCGCATGGAAGTAGACGCCGCTCACAGTTCCCTCGATCTGGTTGAAGCAGATGTAATAGAACCCTTCGAAGCTAGCACCTGAGATCGTCCGAACTCGATGGTCGGGAACAAGGAAAGATTCCTTCCATCTCATGAATATGTGTTCACGTTGGGCGAAGTTACGGTACGTGAAATCCGCTCGTTTGGCCTGTTTAGCCAGCGGACGCCAGGCAGGAAACCGAGACCAATGGTGCAAGTCTGTTTTTTCCGAGGCGCCCCATTCCTCATTACGAGTCTGGAAAGTGTGTTTAGTACCGATGATTTCTCCTTCAAAAAAGGTAGTCAAGGTAGGGTGATCCTCCGTCAGGCCTGTGGAGAACAACAAACGTTAGTTGAGCTAGGTCCAAGGCACGTGCCTGGTGCGCACGAATCACACACCTTGGATTCTAAGATAGCCACAGAGATACGACTCGGCCATATCCACATGCTTAATCTCGACATCGACATTGTAAACTTGGCGGTCTGATTGCTGAGTCCCGGCGAACTTGCTGCCTGAACGAAGAAACGAGGTATGGTTCGGTAGAAGCTATGACGATGGTCAGAAGGTGGTATAATACTGCGATAGAATCGAGCTCGGTACTTACACGAACATTGGAGAATTCCCAGTTAAGAAGTGACGATCCCGGGGACGCTGCTGGTGACTGGCTGCGAAGGCAGGTTGACTCGGCAGGGGAGGTAGCCCGGACTGGGTCATCTTCCTCAACGCCCGTCGGCTTTCCTTCCGCCTTCATCGGCTCGGGGGTGCTGCCACCATCTGATTGACTCGGCATGGAGGGCGCAATTGGGATTTCAGGCGAGAGAGAACCAAAAGGATAGCTAGTCGATACAGTGTCGGGAGAGTCTCGCCAAGCCGAGATCCTTTCGGGCTCCGGTGGACATGTCGTGCGGGCGGCGATCGCTGGGGCGATCGAGTTGTTACTCGGGGTCGGCATTGCAAATTAGGGAAAGAGGAAATGGGGCATTGAATCGAAGCAAAAAACTCCAAAGCAAGATCAAAAAGAGAAAAAGAGAGCAAGGGGGATGGATCATTTGAGATCAGCGAACTAAGTCTTTTAAGGCCTTGAGGAACGAGCAATGCGGGGACAGTCAGGGTGGGTCAGCTGTTTCTGCGCCTGGCGCGGCGCCACTTTCAATATTGGTTATGTAATGTATATGCCTTAGGCCATCAATCAAGCCGCTTTCATCTACTTAGTATACAATATTGTACCTTTGTAAAGAACAATGTCATGACCAATCTTTGATACAAATGAGGACAGAACGAAGCAGATACAACCTAAGATCCGGCGTGCCTTTTCTGCCGCCTCATCAGCGCGCGCATCACCCACAAGCACAGTAGCAAGCGCCTCATCCTACAAGCTACAACTCACCCATCCATCATGGCACCTTGTATGTGCACCCCAGTAAACCAGGATCCTGAAACGCTACTAGATATATCCCCAAATCTAAAACCAAAAGCTAACACTAAACCCGTGCCAACAGAACCCCATCACCCCCCGCCTCTTCACCACCACCCTGTTCACAGCCTTCACAGCATCACTACCAACCAAAGACCCCTCAACCGTTCGGACTCTCCACAAACAAAACCGACTGCTCCACCACCGCCATCCTTCGAAGATGTCTATTGCAGCCCTTACCAGCCAAAGCGCCAATGGCCGCCGGGTATGTCTAATTTGTCCCCGAAACACTAGTTCCGGCTTGAGCGCAAGTACCATCGTCGCGCGGCGCTAAAGTCATTGTCTATTCTGTGCTCTTCATGGAGTGGGAGACGGATGATAGGTGTTCCATGCGCTAAGTGCTCTCTCTGCCTTAGGAACCAGGCTTGTTTGTATCTTAACATGATCCGCCTCATAGATTCGGGAAAGCTTCTTTGCTGGTGTCGGGGCTATATTCCCCAGTGCACTGCCTCCTGCTCCGAGAAGGGAATTAGGACCTAAGACTTGAACAAATGCTCTTCCGTGGTCAAGCTACATGATATCTTCTACCATCTTTTTAAGCATCTTGCTTTGAGATCTTTATACTAGCCCAAGCAGCTACAAACACGCAAGACAGTTAAATTGCCCAGAAAGGATTGGATGTAGACATGCCCGAGGGGTATCAATCTCATTATTTTTGGTGCTATAATTGAGTTCGCATCCCAAGAAACCCTTAATGAACGCCGGGTGAGTATCACCAAATAAAATCCCCAGTTATTCTTCAATTCTCTTTTATGCGCTCAAGACTTAGATGGGCTTGATCTGTAAAGCAGGGAATGGTCAAACGATGTTCCAAAGCATGGGGACAAGATTGATAATACCTTAAAGTGAAGGGAGATCAGCGAGAATACAAGGGCCTTCAGGTCCTGCACAAGATAGTAAAAGACTCGAAGTCCTTCGGGGTCGTCAGACTCTGTCACATCAACTAGCGAGCCGATCTTGGCGGTCTATACAACTCAGTATTAGATGATGACCGTTTCCATAAGTTACCTCGGTCAATTACCTCAAAAGAGATGTGCTCATTTCCAATCCGGATCTCCAGCTCTTGACGTCCGTCCTTGTTCTTCTGGGGCCACTTAGAGTCATCCTCCCTAGATGGGGTCAGCGCAGGTGCTCTTCCTGTCGGGTAATCTAAGTGCATACTTGAGGATCTCGCTATCCTTGATAATACGCTTCACTTCTTCAACCATGGCATCGCTCACGCACACTATCACTCTATCAGCTTGTGCTCGTTTCTCCTTTCGGTATGTATGCTCTTGCTCACTTTCTTTGCGGATGAGGGAATCATTGCGGTAGTTCGAGTTGTTCGCATATCGTACGGCGGCGCTGCTACCTTCGGAAATGGTACGGAGATCAAACTCTGCATGCGAATTAGCGACTGAGTAGAACAAAGTGATCATGACTGGCACGCAGACTTACCTAGGAACTCATGTCCAAACCGCCCAGAGTGACCTGAGCTGTGAGGACTGTCAGCAGCGGAGGAAACCTGGGCTCACTCATATCATTCTTACTAGTATCGGAGGTAGAAATTCTCATTCGACATCTTGGCGAATCTCAATCGTAGAGGTCGTAAGTGAATGGAGAGAGATAGCAATCGACGCCGAAGTGGCAGTTGAAAAGCGGCGGGTTGTGGCTTAGTCATCCACACAGACGGCGCTGGGGGGCCAGATTAAGGGACAAGTTGATGGTCCCTCCCCATTGCGCATCATATAACATCTAATGATTTCAGGGCTGGCGAGGGGTGTTGCTTTACACTAATTGCTTGTTCTTGATATCTGGCGCAAACTCCTATTACTGGGAGAATTACCCCTACTGTATGTGTTTATTCCTACGTGCTGATGTGTCCCCAAAACAACCCCGGAACTGACAACTTGCAGCTCTCTTTCTTCCGATTTCCCCCAACCACCACCATGGCGTCGTTCCTTGAAAATACCTACAGTTTGCTCCATGTAGACAATACTGCCGACCAGCCGACTGTGCAGGAGCTGAAGCTGCAGCTGGAGAAAGGCAACGATGAGACCAAGTTGGAAACAATGCGGACAATTGTCACCATCATGCTGAATGGAGATCCTATGCCGCAAATCCTCATGCACATCATTCGTTTTGTGATGCCGTCGAGAAGCAAGCCATTGAAGAAGTTGCTTTATTTCTTCTATGAAATCTGCCCCAAACACGATTCTACTGGCAAGCTCAAGCAGGAGATGATTCTGGTCTGGTAAGGATGCCCCTGGCCATTGCTACATGGTCTTTCCTGTCTGACAAGTTTTTCTTTTGCAGTAACGGCATTCGTAACGACCTTCAACATCCCAACGAATACATTCGAGGCAATACCCTCCGATTCCTCTCCAAACTCCGCGAACCAGAGCTCATTGAGCCCCTCCTATCCTCCGCACGTGCATGTCTGCAACATCGTCACGCCTATGTTCGCAAGAATGCAGTCTGGGCTGTATCGTCTATTTTCCAGCACTCCGAGTCCCTCATTCCCGACGCGCCGGAGCTGCTTCAGTCGTTCCTCGAATCGGAGACCGACAGCACCTGCAAGCGCAATGCCTTTGCGGCACTCATGTCCATTAGCCACCAGAAGGCGCTTGAGTATCTGCGTACCACATTTGACACAATTCCAAACACAGATGAGTTGCTCCAGCTAGCCGAGTTGGAGTTCCTCCGGAAGGATGCAGTACAGAACACTCAGAATAAGGTGAGCTTGTAAGTCTCAACGTTATAACTTCTGGTCACTAACGAGCAACAGTCGCGATACCTGAAACTCATGCTCGAGCTCCTCGACGCCTCCACTAGCACCGTTGTTTACGAAGCCGCAACATCTCTTACCGCCCTCACAAGCAACCCTGTAGCCGTCAAAGCCGCTGCGAGCAAGCTGATCGAGCTCGCGATTCGGGAGGCCGACAACAACGTTAAGCTCATTTGTCTGGAACGCGTGGACCAACTCAGAATTCGCAATGAGGGTGTCTTGGACGAGCTGACCATGGAGGCCCTACGGGTTCTCAGCAGCCCTGACATTGATGTCCGGAGAAAGGCCCTCAACCTTGCGATGGAGATGGTCTCGAGCAAGAACGTGGAAGAAATCATCATGCTGCTCAAGAAAGAACTTGCCAAGACCGTCGACGAACAATATGAACAGGTAGGTTGTACAGTCGCTTTTGCACAACCCAGCAGTACTAACAATCCGCACAGAATAGCGAGTATCGCCAAATCTTGGTACAGTCAATACACTCCTGCGCTATCAAGTTCTCTGAAATTGCTGCAAGCGTCGTTGATCTCCTGATGGACTTTATTGCCGACTTCAATAATAACTCCGCCGTGGATGTGATTTCGTTCGTCAAAGAGGTCGTGGAGAAATTCCCTGACTTGCGTGGTTCAATCGTTGCCCGCTTGGTTTCAACTTTGAGTGAGGTTCGAGCTGGAAAGGTCTACCGCGGAGTTCTCTGGGTTGTCGGTGAATACTCCCTGGAGGAGAAGGATATTCGGGATGCTTGGAAGACGATCAGAGCCAGCCTTGGTGAAATCCCAATTTTGGCATCCGAACAACGACTCCTGGATGAGGTTCCGGATGACAACGCCCTGCTAATGGAGCAGGCCAATGGCCAATCCAAGGCCGCGCCCACTGGATCCCGAAAGGTGCTTGCAGATGGCACCTACGCCACTGAAAGCGCTCTCACCAGCCAATCGGCGGCAGCTGCTCGTCTCGAGGCAGTCAAGGCCGCACAGAAGCCTCCTCTGCGCCAGCTCATTTTGGACGGCGACTACTACCTGGCAACGGTTCTCTCTTCGACTTTGACCAAGTTGGTGATGCGCCATTCTGAGGTGTCGCAGGATACTGCTCGCACCAACGCTCTCCGTGCCGAGGCCATGCTTATCATGATTTCCATCATGCGCGTTGGCCAATCTCACTTCGTTATGGCTCCTATTGATGAAGATTCTGTGGATCGTATCTTGACCTGTGTGCGATCACTGGCCGAGTTCTCCGAGAAGAAGGAGCTCGAAGCCACTTTCTTGGAGGATACGCGAAAGGCGTTCCGTGCCATGGTCCAGGTCGAGGATAAGAAGAGGGCTGCTAAGGAGGCAGTGGAGAAGGCCAAGAGTGCTGTGCAGATCGACGATGCTATCCCCATTCGCCAATTCACCAAGAAGAATGCCGTCGAGGGCGGGGAGGAGATCGAAATGGATCTTGCCAAGGCAACCGGTGGTGATTCAACCGTGGAGGACGTCTCTTCGAAGCTCAGCCGGGTGGTGCAATTGACTGGTTTCTCCGACTCGGTCTATGCTGAAGCCTATGTCACTGTTCACCAGTTCGACATTGTCCTTGATGTCCTGTTGGTTAACCAAACAACGGAGACTTTGCAAAACCTGTGTGTGGAGTTTGCAACTCTCGGTGACCTTAAGGTCGTTGAGCGGCCATCCACCAACAACCTAGGACCACGCGACTTCTTGAATGTACAGGCTACGGTCAAGGTTTCTTCAACCGACACCGGTGTCATCTTTGGTAACATTGTCTATGACGGCGCTAGCTCTACCGAGACCCATGTGGTCATTCTCAACGACATCCATGCCGACATCATGGACTACATCCAGCCCGCTCACTGCACCGAAACTCAGTTCCGTACCATGTGGACTGAGTTCGAGTGGGAGAACAAAGTCAACATCAATTCCAAGGCCAAGACTTTGCGTGACTTCCTCAAGCAGCTGATGGAGAGCACCAATATGGCCTGCTTGACGCCCGATGCTTCGCTCAAGGGAGATTGCCGCTTCCTGAGTGCGAACCTGTATGCCCGCAGTGTGTTCGGTATGTTTTCAATCTGATAAACCACCCCTTTCTACTTGATGTGATAACTGACTATGTAACCAGGCGAGGATGCATTAGCAAACCTGAGCATCGAAAAGGAGGGAGACGATGGGCCAATTACAGGATTTGTGCGGATAAGAAGCCGCTCCCAGGGTCTGGCACTGAGCTTGGGCTCTCTGAAGGGTCTCAAGGCAGCGACTGCATGAGTCTATGTTTTTCCAGCGGTTTGCGGTCTATATGATGCTTTCTATCCTTTCCCCCCTATTTTATCTGTTCATTCAAGACGAATTTGTTTACTTATATGTCTTTATTGTGTAGATGAGATGGACGTCTCATCAGGAGTAGTGGATAGAGAACAATGTCTTTGATATTTCCAGGGTATTATAGTAGCCTCTAAATAGCTATCTATTTATATAAATGTCTTAGTATTTAAATATATACTCCGTACTCCGTACTGTACAGGACTATTTATATGAATGTTGTCATTAGATGCAAGGACCACATGCCTAGGCCCACCGGAACTCCGCGGCTGCATATGGGTACTTTCATTGTTCTATCATTAACTTCCTTCCCCTAGATTATTCTATTCCTCTCTTCCTCTTTATCTATAATGCCCTGAATCTCCATCCTTATCCAAAATGTCCTCCCAAGACGACTCCTCGCAGGAGCCGCATGACACAACGCTGATCGTTGACCAATCTGTCTCTTTGACCATCGGCGCTGACTCGCTCCTCATACTTGGTATGAACTGATCCACACCCGCCGCGTGGGCATACGCTCACCCATGCAGATGACCGACCGTCTAAACCAGATCGTCGCTGCTGCGGATTACTCCAGTCTAGTAAGTTGATACTGCCCCTCTAGCGGTCGCCGCGTTATCGCGGGCGCTACTGTCGATGGAAATGGTCTGACCGAGCCGCGCGCGCATTAAAGGACCAGAAACCAGCCATGCCATCTCATTGTACAACATCCTGGGCGCCGAGGTCACGGCTTCCAATCTCGTCATTGCCTATGCACAGCATGCTGCCAAGGACGATGTTTCCGTAACGACCATCCAATACCCAATCTCCGAAAAAGAAAAAAAGGCCACGGAGACATGGGCTCAACGACTACTTGACGTCGCGTATGCCAAGGCGCTGCGCGGCAAACGGCTGAAGGTTTTGGTCAATCCTTTTGGTGGGAAGGGGACAGCCGCGAGTTTGTATCAACGATATGCGGCGCCGGTCTTTGCCGCGGCGAAGTGCCAGATAGATGTACAAAACACGGAATACAGTGGGCATGCGATTGAAATTGCGAAAAATCTCGATATCGACGCCTATGATGCGGTCGTTTGCTGCTCTGGCGACGGCTTGCCCTACGAGGTGTTCAATGGATTGGGCAAGCGGCCAGATGCTCGAAAAGCGCTAGCGCAGACCGCCGTCACACTGCTCCCGTGTGGCTCTGGAAACGGATTGACATGGAACGCCTTTGGAACTGGTAGCGTCTCGATTGCGGCACTGGCAATCGTCAAGGGGCTGAGAACCCCGCTGGACCTTGTCTCAATCTCCCAGAAAGATTCGCGCATGCTCTCTTTCCTCTCGCAATCTTTTGGCATCGTCGCTGAGTGTGACTTGGGTACTGAGAACATCCGTTGGATGGGCGCTCAGCGGTTTACATACGGTTTTTTGATCCGTTTGCTGCGGCAGACCATATGGCCTTGTGACATAGCCATCAAGGTGGAAATTGGCGACAAGGAGGCAATTAAGGAGCACTACGCTGCGTGGACTACACGCCCAGAGGAGCCAGATGCTGACAGCAAACGCCTCGAAATTGCTGCAGAGTCCCCAGGCCTACCAAAGCTCAAGTACGGCACAGTGACAGATGAGCTGCCCCAGGGGTGGGAGGTAATTTCGGGAGAAACTATGGGCAATTTCTATGCGGGGAATATGGCCATCATGTCGAAAGACACAAATATGTTCCCTGCAACATTGCCCGATGACGGCCTGATGGACGTGGTCACTATCGACGGAACAGTCAGTCGTGCTACAGCGCTTACTATGATGAACGAAATCCCTAGTGGTCGCTTTTTCGATATGCCAGACCTTAATGTCCGCAAAGCGTCTGCGTTTCGTCTAGTTCCCCACCAGAAGGAGGGCTATATCAGTATTGACGGTGAACGGGTACCTTTCGAAGCGTTCCAAGCCGAGGTTCACCAGGGACTGGGCACGATACTCACCAAATCGGGCCGTTTCTATGAGGCGGCAGGTCCCCGCTAAATCATGCCTTCAATCTGCCTCTGGGACGAAAGTCGCAATTGGCTACCGCCCTATCATTGTTAGCAGGCCGCTCTCTATATACCCACTGCTTGCTGGGTCTTTGCATTCACTCATGATACCCTAGCGCAAAAGAATTGGTGCTTTGTCAATAAGTCACATTAACCACTTGATACTCCGTGATCGGGCTGTACAGTAAAACCAAGCGAAACAGGAGACTTGTGAATACACTTTGTAGTCCTTTACACCTGTAGGCCTAGCTGTGATGGCCTGATGGACATAATCGCTAGCACGCTGTGCAATGAATTCAGTCTTTTTATACAAATCCCTTTTCACATACTATAACTAGAATATTCATTCAAAGCCACCCCATTCCTCCTCACTGTCATCTTCCTCATCGGCCTTTCTTGTCCGAACACCCCACTCGAACAGCCGCTCATCCTCCAAGGCCTCGGCCGCCCTCGTCCGAACAGGCTTGTAGGCGCTCTCGGCGCGCAGCTTCTCCAGCGGCCTCAGAATAAGCTCAATAGGCATATCGCCCTTGATCTTCCGCTTTGGGGTCTCCTCATCCTCATCACCAGCCACTTCCTCAAATTCAAGAACCTTCTCCAACTCATCGACCCAGATATCAATAAGATGGTAGCGCAGCCCGTCAGGGCCATGCGGCATAGGCACGTAATTTGGGTCTCCCTCATCCTGGGCCTGATCCTCGTCATAGTTTAGTGGGCACAAAGGACCCTCCTCAATAATGGAGATATAAGCCGCGAGATCGGGGAATTTGGTCTCGGCATCTTCGGCACTGTGCTTCTCCTCCTCGTCTTCAGCGACGGCCTCGGCCTCGGCCTGCTTCTTCTGCTTCTTGCCGCGGCCCTGATTGGCTGCGTCTTCGCGCTTGCGTTTTTTACCGTCGGCGTTCTTTGTTGACGTCTTGTTCTTCACGAGAACTTCGAATGCCACACCGACATAGAAACGGATCAGCATCAGGTACTTGTCCAGTCGAATGCGGTCTAGTGAGTGGTAGTCCCGGCCGATGGTGATCCAGAAGGCACGCAGGAAGCGGTGAAGTGTTTCTTGGGGGAGGGAGGGGACGAGAGAGTAGGAGAGTGCGCGGGCGAGGGCTTGTTGTGTGAGCGGTCGGTCGGAGTGGTAGAAGCCTGGGAGAAGGTTAATTTTGTTGCAATTTGTGTTCGGCGAGTATAGCAGTATGCATACAGTAGAAGAGGCCCTTCCACAGTTTGAGGAGATCCACGAGGGTTAGATCGGTGCGAGAGCGCACGAATTTGGTTAAAGAATCAAGAGCCTTGTCGCGGACTTTCCGGTCTGAAGAGATCGATTAGCACTGGAGTTTTCCAATTGGGCAAATTACCCATACCACTCGAGCCGAGCTCCCTCACAAAAGGAGTTTTTTGGCTGTCCATTGGTACGGTTTATCTCAAGGAATTAACAAGACTAGCGATTGAGAAGCTTGGATAACAAGGCGAGTGTAGTTGTTGATCTCAGTGAGGGTATACAGAAACTACCCTTAAAAGGCATTCAATTGAATAGAGTTCAATCAAAAGTTCGAGACTATCGAACTGCTGTCTTGATTCAAAATCCAGATCGAAGATTGCGATAAATTATTTTTTTTCTTTGCGATAGAGTTGTTTGCATTGTTTGTCCAGGAGCTCCAGATCGGTGATTAGCTAAGATAATTGGAGCCTGAGACGTAAGGCAGCACATAATCCGCTGTTCGATAACTAACTAACTACATTATGTTCATAGTTAACATACGGTTTCGGCTATTTTGCTAAAGTTAAGGACTAACATTGAAATTGGCATGGTGACATACTTATTACATCATTGTTTTGCTCTGTTTTATATCCGTCAGTGGCCTATACATCTGCTTTATGCAGCCGGTATACTTCCAAGGTTGACAGATATGTGTAACTACCTACCAAGATAGAAGAGCCATGTTTATAGTCTCTCCAAAACTGCCGATCAATGCTAATCGCAGTGAGCAGCCGTCAATGAACGCCTGGTAAATTTAGTCCGAATAACAGGATCCGATGATCAACTGTTCTTTCTAGTTAAAAGGATGCGGGAAATGGCATCAAGAGTAGCCGTTTTCAGCGTCCAATTTTCCGCCATTGAGCGTTGTATGGAGATATAATCGCCCTTGAAACTGTAGGGCGCAATAGCAAAACTTTAGCTAGCATGAACCGAAATCGTGCCCATCGTCCATCAATCATCAATCATCAATCATCATCCATGATATGTGCATCCGTAAAAGCAAAGCGACCGACTTCCCGGCAATCAATCCTGTTGGTATCTCAACCAATGGGGTAGACGTCCTCACTGCCGGTTAAAAATAGAACTCTGACTTGCAGTCGAAAAAGAGATAGGAGGAGCAGGATCGTCTCGAGAAAAGAAGCGCAGGGCGGAACCCTAATTTACGTGCTCGCACTACTCTTGCCCCGGCGCTACAGAATGGACTGGACTTCTGCAGAATTTTTGTCCCCAAAAATGCGGCTCCAGGACCCGTTACAAACTCTAAGCCCTGAATGTGCCAGTGACATTTTCAAGCACTTACTAGCGCCCGATCTTGCTTGCTGTGAGAGGGTGAGCTGAAGATGGAGGATATTTGTCCAATCCTGGATCGCGTCCGTTGGTCTTCGTCTCCATTTTCAGTACGAATTCAAGGGCCTTCTGCCCGCCGACTCATATTCGGCGACATCTCTATTCAAAAAGCAGGGTGAGCTGATGTCTAGTATAGTGCTTGCGATGCCGTTTTACTGATGATGCAGTAGCCGCCCTGCGAGCTAATATGCAGCGTGGGGAGCCTTCAAGTGTTCGCAAGTACGAAAGTACGAGGCTGTTCACCGTGGCCGGCAGCTTCTGTGCATGGATAAACCCCAAGGAAGGCATTTTTGGGCAGGATCTGTCCTACCGGAAGGACGGTTCACTTTATAAGCCAATACTACTGACTCCGGTAGACGTCACCTTAGGGCATCACCAACCTAGTGAACTAGTAGTATTGGGGGCCAATGGCTACTTACTGATTCGATCTCGTGTTGACCGAGAGCCGGACACTGGAATACCCCAAAACTATTGGTAGGAGTATGGGTATAGGTATCCTCGACGAGCTTGGCTAATCTGGGAGACAGGGATACTCTCTATTGTCTCCAAAACGGGAATCGAATATGGTCACGTGAATACCGACTAGAGTCATACAATGACCCTTTTTGGACCCCGCTCTTGGTTGGGGACAAGCGAGTATACTACGGAACTGTCTCCAGTGGAAGAATCGGGATAGATGGTGGCTCGGCTCGGACGCGTGCCCACGCATTGTATTCTGGAGAGTTGCTCTGGGAAGCGGAGACAATAGCCCACACAGCGGATTTTTACGGCTTCTACGATACTAGAGGCTATCATGACGCGATTCCTCTGAAGCTGATCAACACGAGCGAAGAGGAACTGATTATCGTTGTCAAGGGCTACCCTGGGGGGGGGGGGGGGGGGGGGGG